TTTGTAGTGAACACACACACACTCTGACCTACTGACCTCTCAGCACATTCTGATACACTAACAAATATCATGATGCTTAAACGTACGTTTCTTTGAAAATGAAAACTTGATGAATATCAAGGAAATGTGACTAATATATTACTACTGAAAAATAAAATGACCAACAAAAGTGAAGCAGGAGAGACTAATGTTCACTTATAAAGTGATAGTTCACCTAGAAATCATCATTGTCATCACTTATTCTCCCTCATGTTGTTCTGAACCTGTGACATTCTTCTGTCAAAAACAAAATATATTTTGAAGAATGATGGGAGCCAAACAACATTGGACCCCACTGACTTTCATTGACCCCGTTGATACTCATTGTATTGACAAAAAATGGACTTAATTCAAAATATTTAGTTTTGTTGATTATTGGGTAAATTGTCTCTTTAAGATTAGAAGCAATGTGAATGACAGTTCTGGGCTCTGAGTTCAACACTCAGTGTTACAGTGATTAGAAAGTATTAAAGTTAGTGTGTGTGTGTGTAGGTGGGCTCCCTCGAGCAGGCGATGTTGGATGCGTTGGTGATGGACCGTGTGGAGTTTGTTAAGCTCCTGATAGAGAATGGTGTCAGTATGCACCGGTTCCTCACAATCACACGTCTGGAGGAGCTGTACAACACGGTACACAAACACACTCTCTCACTCACCCACCCTCCCTCTCTCTCTCTCTTTCTCTCTCTCTCACACACACACACACACACACACACTCTCACTCTCTCTCTCTTACACACATGCACACTCTCACTCTCACTCACACACGCACACTCACTCTCTCTTACACACGCACACACACACACACTCACTCACACGCGCACACACACACACTCACTCACGCGCGCGCACACACACTCTCACTCACATGCGCGCACACACACACACACTCTCACTGTCTCACTCACTCACTGTCTCTCTCTCTCTCTCACTCACTCACTCACTCACTCACACACACGTTGCTTCTCAAACACTGAGCATAAACTGAACTTGTAAATGTGAACATTTCTATTCTCACAGAAACAAACTCCGACGAATCCGACGCTCTATCACCTGGTGAGGGACGTCAAACAGGTAAAGCTGCTGAACTGAAGCTCGAGTGTCCGACGCCAGACTGCAGTCCGTCTGAGTTTTATTCCCTTGTATTTTTTGGTAGGGTAACCTCCCGCCCAACTATAAGATCACGCTGATCGACGTGGGGCTGGTGATCGAGTATCTGATGGGAGGAACTTACAGGTGCAACTACACACGCAAACGCTTCCGCATCATCTACAACAACCTGCACGGGAACAGCCGGGTAAACCAGCGCTAACAGTGTTTATATCAGCCGAAACATGTACTAAGAATTTTACTTTAAGGTTTTGAGATTGTGATTTAATTTTTTCATAATTTAATAACACATTTGCATGTTCACGGTTCTCTGATGCCGATTAATGTTCACATGACATGCAGATCAAAGTGTTTAGTTTTTTTTCTTTAATATTTAAAAAATCTTTTCGTGTTTTATTTTAAAATAATTTCTGCATTTTAATTTTACTTTATTATTATTTAATTATCAGTCCGATCAGAATGAAAGATCTAATGCTTTGTGTGTCTGTGTGTGTCCGTCCATTTTTTTGTTCTGTCTGTCCATCTTTGTGTTTGTTGTTCTGTGTGTCTGTTGCTCTGTTTGTCCGTCCATCTTTGTTCGTTTGTCTGTCGTTCTGTTCATCTGTTCTTTCTGTCTTTGTCTCTATATCTGTCCGTCCATCTTTCTGTTCGTTTGTCTGTCGTTCTGTTTGTCTGTCTGTCTGTCTGTCTCTCCATCGGTTCTGTCTGTCAGCGGTCAGGTCGACACACGGCCGGCAGCTCACATGAGTCCTTCAGCATTCAAGCAGATAAAAAAGAGAAGACGCGACACAATCACTTCATCAACACGGCGCAGCCCTACAAACCCAGGGTAAGACGAGTGTTTGAGCGTGTTTGTCTGTCGCATCTCTCGCCGCAGCGTGTGTTTGATCGTGTGTTTTTCCTCCTCAGCTGGACTCTGTCTCCGAGCAGCAGAAGAAGAAGAGTAAGGAGGAGGTGGTGGACATCGACGATCCGGAGACGCGCAGGTTCCCGTACCCCTTCAACGAGCTGCTGGTGTGGGCCGTGCTGATGAAGCGGCAGAAGATGTCTCTGTTCTTCTGGCAGCATGGCGAGGAGTCCATGGCCAAAGCTCTGGTGGCCTGCAAACTGCTGCGCTCCATGGGATACGAGGCCAAGAAGAGCGACGTGGTGGACGACACCTCCGAGGAGCTGAAGGAGTATTCCAAGTGAGTCTCTGTCAGTCGAGTCCCCTTCATTTCTACAATACAGACTGTTTCAAACAGCTTCACGGTAATAAATGACAAAACAACAGAATCATTGATGCAAACTTTTGAAATGAGGCTGCTGTGTCTTCATTCTGTTCATACCCGTCAACCCTCCCGTTTTTCCTGCGATTCTCCCGTATTTTACCATTCTATCCTGCTATCATCCCGTTTAAATATTTTCCCGTTTTCCTGTTTCAGATTTAAAGGGATAGTTTACCCATGTTTTTTCTCACCCTCAAGGCATCCTAGATGTATATGACTTCCTTGTTTCAGACGAATCCAATCCGAGTTATATTAAAAATTGTCCTGGCTTTTCCAAGCTTTATAATGGCAGTGAATGGGTGTTTTTGTTCAACAGTCCAAATGAAATCAAATAAAGCGCATCCATCCACGTCATCCGCGCGGAATGGCTTCCGCGATCAACAGTTAGCAGAAGTGTTTATAACATTTTAAATATGGATATTTTTCTTACAAAAGCGCATGGATTCGATACAGGATTCCTTTATTCTCTCCCCAGAGCCGTGTGAGGCACCTTTTATTATGGATGGATGTGCTTTATTTGACTTTTTTTTTTTTAACTGTTGAAAAAATAACAGCCATTCACTGCCATTATAAAGCTTGGAAGAGCCAGTATAATTTTTAATGGAACTCCGATTAGATTCTTCTGAAAGAAGAAAGTCATAAACACCTAGGATGCTTTGAGGGCGAGTAAAACACAGGCTAATTTTCATTTTTGGATTAACTATCCCTTTAAGGCCATAAAAAGTCTTAAATGGTACAGCAATGTCTTAAATTTGGGGACAGAAAGACAAGACTTGAGATATAGCTTACACTTCAAAAGGCTATGGTTTAATTGATTAAATATGAGCGCTGGAAGTTTCAAAGGCCACGTACATTCGGTTGTCAGTTCACCTTTTACTCCTTAATCGTGTTCTGTACACACATAATTCACTAAAATACGGCTGTGACAACCGAATTAACTCCCGAAAAATACAGATAGTTACAACCGCATTTACAGAAATTCTAAGCAGTGTTTACGGAACCAAACTGAACAACTAGCTGTTGGTTTTTAACGTGCATAGATGTCACTCTTCACAGGGAAAGCAGTACGAGCCTTGCCTCGTTCGTGTTGCCAGATCTTGCTAGAAAAATCAGCGAACAAGACCATAATAAACTGAAGTAAATCCAAATGCTTTATGCTGAAAATAAGACCCAAGTATAGCGACTCGTGTCTGCTCACTTTGATAATGCCACACACCCGATCGCTTTATGATCCGAGCTTAAAAAAGCGCTTGTAATGAGTGATCATGGCAATACAGACCGCACGCACTAACATTTCCCTTATGACTGGTTTTGTGCTCCAGGGTCACATTTATGTTATAATTGCCATCTACAGAACTACAGGAATGCTGTAGTAAGTGTTTTGAGAATTTCAGTGCTTAAATTTACATTTATGCATTTAGCGAACTCTTTTATCCAAAGTGACTTCGAAAAGAGGAGGAACAAAGCATTACAAAGGCCAAAAATAAAGTTTTAACTCAAAATGAGGAGAATGGAAGAATGAGTTGAGTCTGATCCTGTGTGTGTGTGTGTGCTCAGTGAGTTCGGCACGCTGGCGGTGGATCTGCTGGAGCAGTCGTTCAGGCAGGACGAGACGATGGCCATGAAGCTGCTGACGTACGAGCTGAAGAACTGGAGCAACTCCACCTGTCTGAAGCTGGCGGTGTCGTCGCGCCTCCGGCCGTTCGTGGCTCACACCTGCACACAGATGCTGCTCTCCGACATGTGGATGGGTCGCCTCAACATGCGCAAGAACTCCTGGTACAAGGTACAGCCGCCCCTGCGCTTGCTATATCGGTACTGATGCGAGTATCGAAAGTATCAATACTCAAATAGAAAATATCGATGTTTTATTTATCAGGGATTTTGCTTATTTTACAAAAAAATTAAATGCGTGCAATATGCATTGAATTGGACGAATAACCTACGTTAGCGAATAAGTGTGTAGGATAGAACTATTTTCCTGCTCATCTGAACACACGCAAATGCTGCAAGACAGAACCAAACAATCACAGAGAGACCGTGCATTCAAACAGGGCTGCGCTTCAGAAGAAAGCATTGATGTTTTTGGGAACGGCAGCCCAGAACAATGCTTAGCACAGATTTTTGGATTAACTATCCCTTTAAGGCCATAAAAAGTCTTAAATGGTACAGCAATGTCTTAAATTTGGGGACAGAAAGACAAGATTTGAGATATAGCTTACACTTCAAAAGGCTATGGTTTAATTGATTAAATATGAGCGCTGGAAGTTCACAGTAAACACATATTAACCACGTGTAAACCTAATTAGTTGCAATTAAGGCATATTGAATGTTAAAATGCATTTCAAGTATAAAGTGGGTATCATTACCTATTTTACTCTTAGTAATTTAATTTAATACATTTCATTATTTAAAAGTTTAGTTTAGAAGTATCGGTATTGATATCAATGATACAGGCCTTTAAAAGTATCGGTATCGTATCGAAAACAAAATAAGTGGTTCACTAGTGACATTTCAACCAGACTTGTGTTTGTGTGTTTGTAATTTAATAAATTTAATAATTTAAAAGTTTAGTTTAGAAGTATCGTTATCGTATCGAAAACAAAGTAAGTGCTATTGGCCATCCCTAGCCTCGTGCATCGACTGATCGATCCACTGATGCTGTGTGTGTTTGTGTGTTTGTTTGTGTATGTATGTGTGTGTGCAGGTGATCCTGAGCATCCTGGTTCCTCCTGCCATCCTCCTGCTGGAGTACAAGACCAAAGCGGAGATGTCCCACATTCCCCAGTCGCAGGACGCTCATCAGAGCATGGAGGACAGCGAGCACAACCTGCAGAAGCCTGACGACATCCCCATGGTACGGATGAAGCATTAATCACGCCTGAAGTGTGCTAACGTGCCTCCGCCGCTGTTCTGATCACCGATGCTCAGAAACGGTCAATCTTTACACGAGCATTGCACAATGGCACTGGCACAGATTGACAGAGTTTGTGTTTCTGTCAGGATGTGTTTAAGGAAGCCCGTCCCAATGAGAACGCGGATGTGAAGAATGAGACGGAGGTGCACGTGCGTTCCCGCCGGTTACCCATCACACGCAAGTTCTACGCCTTCTACCACGCGCCGATCGTCAAGTTCTGGTTCAACACGGTACGTGCGGCTCCTTTCTCACGCTGCGTGAGTGTGTGTGTGTGTGTGTGAGATTTCCAGCACTTCAAGAGTTCTGGGCTGTTGTTCCCATGTGATAGTATCAGAGACACTTGTTACTGCATAAACCCGCCACGTTACACACTGATAAACATCTCAGAACTAGTGGAAGGTTCACTAGTGACATTTCAACCAGACCCGATTGTTTGAGTGTGTGTGTGGAAGAGCGACGTGGTGGACGACACCTCCGAGGAGCTGAAGGAGTATTCCAAGTGAGTCTCTGTCAGTCGAGTCCCCTTCATTTCTACAATACAGACTGTTTCAAACAGCTTCACGGTAATAAATGACAAAACAACAGAATCATTGATGCAAACTTTTGAAATGAGGCTGCTGTGTCTTCATTCTGTTCATACCCGTCAACCCTCCCGTTTTTCCTGCGATTCTCCCGTATTTTACCATTCTATCCTGCTATCATCCCGTTTAAATATTTTCCCGTTTTCCTGTTTCAGATTTAAAGGGATAGTTTACCCATGTTTTTTCTCACCCTCAAGGCATCCTAGATGTATATGACTTCCTTGTTTCAGACGAATCCAATCCGAGTTATATTAAAAATTGTCCTGGCTTTTCCAAGCTTTATAATGGCAGTGAATGGGTGTTTTTGTTCAACAGTCCAAATGAAATCAAATAAAGCGCATCCATCCACGTCATCCGCGCGGAATGGCTTCCGCGATCAACAGTTAGCAGAAGTGTTTATAACATTTTAAATATGGATATTTTTCTTACAAAAGCGCATGGATTCGATACAGGATTCCTTTATTCTCTCCCCAGAGCCGTGTGAGGCACCTTTTATTATGGATGGATGTGCTTTATTTGACTTTTTTTTTTTTAACTGTTGAAAAAATAACAGCCATTCACTGCCATTATAAAGCTTGGAAGAGCCAGTATAATTTTTAATGGAACTCCGATTAGATTCTTCTGAAAGAAGAAAGTCATAAACACCTAGGATGCTTTGAGGGCGAGTAAAACACAGGCTAATTTTCATTTTTGGATTAACTATCCCTTTAAGGCCATAAAAAGTCTTAAATGGTACAGCAATGTCTTAAATTTGGGGACAGAAAGACAAGACTTGAGATATAGCTTACACTTCAAAAGGCTATGGTTTAATTGATTAAATATGAGCGCTGGAAGTTTCAAAGGCCACGTACATTCGGTTGTCAGTTCACCTTTTACTCCTTAATCGTGTTCTGTACACACATAATTCACTAAAATACGGCTGTGACAACCGAATTAACTCCCGAAAAATACAGATAGTTACAACCGCATTTACAGAAATTCTAAGCAGTGTTTACGGAACCAAACTGAACAACTAGCTGTTGGTTTTTAACGTGCATAGATGTCACTCTTCACAGGGAAAGCAGTACGAGCCTTGCCTCGTTCGTGTTGCCAGATCTTGCTAGAAAAATCAGCGAACAAGACCATAATAAACTGAAGTAAATCCAAATGCTTTATGCTGAAAATAAGACCCAAGTATAGCGACTCGTGTCTGCTCACTTTGATAACGCCACACACCCGATCGCTTTATGATCCGAGCTTAAAAAAGCGCTTGTAATGAGTGATCATGGCAATACAGACCGCACGCACTAACATTTCCCTTATGACTGGTTTTGTGCTCCAGGGTCACATTTATGTTATAATTGCCATCTACAGAACTACAGGAATGCTGTAGTAAGTGTTTTGAGAATTTCAGTGCTTAAATTTACATTTATGCATTTAGCGAACTCTTTTATCCAAAGTGACTTCGAAAAGAGGAGGAACAAAGCATTACAAAGGCCAAAAATAAAGTTTTAACTCAAAATGAGGAGAATGGAAGAATGAGTTGAGTCTGATCCTGTGTGTGTGTGTGTGCTCAGTGAGTTCGGCACGCTGGCGGTGGATCTGCTGGAGCAGTCGTTCAGGCAGGACGAGACGATGGCCATGAAGCTGCTGACGTACGAGCTGAAGAACTGGAGCAACTCCACCTGTCTGAAGCTGGCGGTGTCGTCGCGCCTCCGGCCGTTCGTGGCTCACACCTGCACACAGATGCTGCTCTCCGACATGTGGATGGGTCGCCTCAACATGCGCAAGAACTCCTGGTACAAGGTACAGCCGCCCCTGCGCTTGCTATATCGGTACTGATGCGAGTATCGAAAGTATCAATACTCAAATAGAAAATATCGATGTTTTATTTATCAGGGATTTTGCTTATTTTACAAAAAAATTAAATGCGTGCAATATGCATTGAATTGGACGAATAACCTACGTTAGCGAATAAGTGTGTAGGATAGAACTATTTTCCTGCTCATCTGAACACACGCAAATGCTGCAAGACAGAACCAAACAATCACAGAGAGACCGTGCATTCAAACAGGGCTGCGCTTCAGAAGAAAGCATTGATGTTTTTGGGAACGGCAGCCCAGAACAATGCTTAGCACAGGACAGAAAATCCATGTGTGTTTGAGTTATTTCACAATAAACAAATTGAAATTGTAGCCTACATAGTTTGTGCAATTACAATTATTTAAATACTGATCATGTTCTGTTCTGTAATGTTAAAATAAATCATACACTGTCAGAATAAAAAGGTTGTATTTTATGCGTGCAACAGCCTGTCACTGGCAGTCCCTTAAGAAAATTAACCATGATTTACTAAAGTGACTCTAGTTCAACTGTAGTAGTTGTAGATTTCCATGGTTACCACCACAGTAAACACATATTAACCACGTGTAAACCTAATTAGTTGCAATTAAGGCATATTGAATGTTAAAATGCATTTCAAGTATAAAGTGGGTATCATTACCTATTTTACTCTTAGTAATTTAATTTAATACATTTCATAATTTCATAATTTAAAAGTTTAGTTCAGAAGTATCGTATCGATACCGACGATGCCTGCCTTGAAAAATATCGGTATCGTATCGAAAACAAAATAAGTGGTATCGCCCATCCCTAACTCTTAGCTCATTTTCAATGTCCATCTTTGATCTGTATTTTGTCTTGATTGAGGCAACCCTATGCGATAAAGATAATCTATAAAGATCGCAACCCAACCCAAAACCCTATCTCACATAGGTAGTATGTGGCAAAAGGAAGGAGTATTGCCAGGGCTCTCCTGCCTAGCAGTGGGTAGTCCTTTTCCACTCCAATCCAAAATGCAGCCAATGCCTTGGACTTAAACTGAAGCCTCATTGTTGAATCAGAGGTGACATCAATGAACTGTTCCTGTTCTGCTGTGCTAAAGTCAGCGGGTGGTGTTGCACCGAAGGGGTCTCGAATCCAATCATATTTTGCAGGATCTTGCACTGGGAAATCCCTCTGGAAATGTTTTTGTAGGGCAGAGATATGAGTTGTCATGCATGGGATCACTGTGTTCTGCAGTTTGTTGACCTCAATGAATGATTTCAAGCTCTCAAATGAGTCTATATTCCCTTCTTTCACTCTCTGCTCCCACATCTCCAGTTTACTTGTGAATGATGTGATTTTTAAAATAAATCATACACTGTCAGAATAAAAAGGTTGTATTTTATGCGTGCAACAGCCTGTCACTGGCAGTCCCTTAAGAAAATTAACCATGATTTACTAAAGTGACTCTAGTTCAACTGTAGTAGTTGTAGATTTCCATGGTTACCACTACAGTAAACACATATTAACCACGTGTAAACCTAATTAGTTGCAATTAAGGCATATTGAATGTTAAAATGCATTTCAAGTATAAAGTGGGTATCATTACCTATTTTACTCTTAGTAATTTAATTTAATACATTTCATTATTTAAAAGTTTAGTTTAGAAGTATCGGTATTGATATCAATGATACACGCCTTTAAAAGTATCGTTATCGTATCGAAAACAAAGTAAGTGCTATCGGCCATCCCTAGCCTCGTGCATCGACTGATTGATCCACTGATGCTGTGTGTGTTTGTTTGTGTATGTGTATGTGTGTGTGTGTGTGCAGGTGATCCTGAGCATCCTGGTTCCTCCTGCCATCCTCCTGCTGGAGTACAAGACCAAAGCGGAGATGTCCCACATTCCCCAGTCGCAGGACGCTCATCAGAGCATGGAGGACAGCGAGCACAACCTGCAGAAGCCTGACGACATCCCCATGGTACGGATGAAGCATTAATCACGCCTGTTACTTAATATTAAATAATAATATCATTTGGCCTAATATTATTAATATCATATATAATTTGTTTGTTTTTTTCACAAAAAGGAAATGTGTATATATATCCATTAGTGCTGTCAAACGATTAATCGCATACAAAATAAAATTTTTGTTTGCATAATATATGCGTGTTCTGTCTATATGAATATATAAATACACACACATGCAGTATATATTTAGAAAATATGTACATGTCTATTTATATTCATATAATTTATATTATAAATACATATATTTAATATATACACATAACATATTTTTCTGAAATATATTCATGCGTGTGTGTGTATTTATTTATATATATATATATATACATAATAAATATACACCGCACACATGTATGTAAAACTTTTATTTTGGATGCAATTAATCGCGATTAATCGTTTGACAGCACTAATATTCATCTACACTTGACCCTCTAACACTAGCACTCTATTCTATTTCTATTCTATCTACTAGTTTTCTTGTTATTTATTATATAAAAAAGCCTTGCTAGTGTACTGCGTTAGGCTAACTGAGACTTTCGGCAGACGCCACGAAAGCGCAAGCTCCCGAGCACTTAGGAAAGAGAGAGCGGCGCGGCTGGCGGTTTCCATGCGTTTTTAGGTGCGACATGTGTCCCCAAAGTCTGTCTACACTGGACGCGACCGTTGCATATCATTTGAACTTTGTGTCAGTACATCATATCGTGTACTGTCTGAACATCATCTTCTGGTACGTGCGGCTGCTGGATATCCTGGCGGTCAATCAGCAGGCTGGACCCTACGTCATGATGATCGGGAAGATGGTGAGAGCCCGGCAGAGCTGTGTTTGAGCCGCTCGTGTCCTCCAGCACTGAGCACTCTCTGCACTCACAACGAAATGGATAAATTTATAATCTAACTCATAAACCTTAAACCTTTTTAACTTTATTAAATGTACATACTGAGTGACTGATACCATCTTTGTTATGGAATACACTCGGTGATTCTAGGGATGTAACGATTCACTCAACTCACGAGTCTTTTTGTAACAAAATGAGATTTAAGACAAATTATACAGTAAATGAAAATGTGTCCTTTTATTATGTACTTAATATTAAATAATAATATCATTTGGCCTAATATTATTAATATCATATATAATTTGTTTGTTTTTTTCACAAAAATGAAATGTGTATATATATCCATTAGTGCTGTCAAACGATTAATCGCATACAAAATAACATTTTTGTTTGCATAATATATGCGTGTTCTGTCTATATGAATATATAAATACACACGCATGCAGTATATATTTAGAAAATATGTACATGTCTACTTATATTCATATAATTTATATTATAAATACATATATTTAATATATACACATAACATATTTTTCTGAAAAAATTTCTTCATATAGACAAATTAAAGCTTTGTGCTCTTTCCGTTTAAAATCAGAGGCAACCACTGCATTTTAATCACGATCCAAACAAAGATGCAGCATACATGCAACATGAGCTGTTTTTAATCTAAATTAGATTGTATAATTTCAAAATTTGAAGCAAAAACAGAATGGTCTGACTTCAGTTTCATGAAACTATACAAAAAATATCTGAAGGAAGCAGCAGACGAGCTGAATGAGACGCAGATTCACTCTCTGCCAGCAGGTGGCGCTCATGAACAGCAATGATACAGTGTTTCCTTGGTTACCGCTGTAAACAACAGCAGCCAGTGCTTTATGAACTTTATGAACTTTTAAGATGAAAAGAAAATGCCATGTAAACGTTTCTAAAGACGGTCAGTTCCACTCAGAGATGCATTCATATAAACTCCTACACCAATTGTATCGCGATTTGAATCGTCACCTATTTGAATCGATGTGCTCCAGCCACATAGAAGTTTTGCATGTCGCCGTCGCGGCTAGTTAGGACAAAAACTCAGATTATCATGAAAAAGATAGCTTTTATCGCGTGCCGCGGCATCGCGTCGTGTGCAGTTAGGACTAGAGTTGCAAAGGGGTGGAAAATGTCTGGTAAATTTCCAGAATTTACTTTCTAAAAATTCCAGGAAGATTCCAAAAAAAATCCTGGAAAGTTTTGTTAGTTACTTTATTGTTTAGCCTTGGCTGAAAATTGGTCTTAGGTCTGCTTACATACAACAATAACAGTACAATTCGCATAACACATCTAATAAATAATTAATGCATTCATCCCTCCTTAAAACACTAATCCTACCCTTTATTCAAAAGACTTATTGCATATGGCGCAAAGGTTTGTTTATATATTGCTGTAGTTGCCTTCAGTGTCCTATAACATCGTCCAGATGGTAACAAAATTGGTGGGTTACAAAATTTCTGAAATTTACTGGAAATGTTCCACCTTTTTGCAACCCTAGTTAGGACACGGAGTAACTGAGCGTGCCGTTTCTCCGCAGTAACGTCTACATGCAGGTGAAGTCCATATCCAACCTGGTGTGGAAATACCAGCGCTATCACTTCATCATGGCGTACCACGACAAGCCGGTGCTTCCGCCGCCGCTGATTCTGCTCAGCCACGCCGCGTCCGTGCTGTCCTCCATCTGCAGGAAGAGGAAGAAGGACAGCAGCGCCTACGGACCAAGTAACGCACCTCTCGCTCGCGCCGCCGCTTCTGCTCGCGTCTGTCAGCGCTCTGACTGTCCTGCTGTTTTTCAGAGCTCTTCCTGACCGAGGAGGACCAGAAGAAGCTGCACGACTTCGAGGAGCAGTGCGTGGAGACGTACTTCCACGAGAAAGACGATCAGTTTCACTCTGGGAGTGAAGAGAGAATCAGACTCACGTCCGACAGGTACGATGATGAACGGCATGCTCATGCATCAGGATCCACAACACAATGCCAGTAGAAAGCCTCTTTAGTGAGCAGTTATTAACTGCAGCATTTAATGCATGATTGAAATAAAATATTAAAATCGATAGTCTGAGAGTGAAATTTACAGATCACATCTATCACGTTTCCTTAGTGGAAAATGTAGTGTCAGACTCTTCTCTCTTTTAGCATCTTCAATGAAATGAGTGTCTCTCTGTGACCTCACTGCAAAAATGATTCTCTTAGTATTTTTGTCTTGTTTTTTCAGTATAAATATCGAAAGATTCTTGAATCAAGATGAATTTACTGTACAAGTAAAATGATTTAAGATATTATGTCTCGTTTTCTGTAAAAAATATATATACAATTTTGAAAAAAATCAAGCAAAAATATCTGCCAATGGGGCAAGAAAAATACTCTTCTTTAGCCTTCGAATTAAGATTATTTTTCTTACCCCATTGGCAGATATTTTTGCTTGTTTTAAGGAGAAACTAACAAAATTGGGATTTTTTTTGTTTTTTTTTGTTTTTTAGAAAACAAGACTTAATATCGTAAATAATTGTACTTGTCAAGTAAATGCATCTTGATTCAAGAAAGTTTAGATATTTAAACTAGGAAACAAGACAAAAATACTAAGAAAATCATTTTTGCAGTGCTGCTGTTACTGTGACCTCACATTGTCAAAGTGAAACATTATATTTATATAAAAATAGACTTTTACAGGCAGGCTAGTACATTTGCTCAGTTCAGTCACCGATCGCAGGTGCGTTTTAACAACATTTGCTGTTCCTGAAATAATTTCTGACATATTGACATCTGAGGGATCGCGTGATCTATGAGCATGTTTACATGAAATCAAACATTACAGAACCCCTAACAGTAGGTCACGGGTTCGATTCCCAGGGAAAGTGAGGACTGACGTGTACCTCTCTGGATAAAAGTGTCTGCCAAATGCATAAATGTAAATGTGAAACCTGAAGCCCCTGGTGCTGTGATTATTGTCTGTAAAGCTGCTTTGAAACAGTATGTATTGTGAAAAGTGCTATACAAATAAATGAACTGAAATGTTTGTTTACCTGTGTTTGTTTTTTAGGGTGGAAACGATGTGTGTGCAGCTGAAGGAGGTCGGAAACAAGGTGAACTTCATCAAGCGCTCTCTGCACACGCTGGATTCTCAAATCGGACACCTGCAGGATCTGTCGGCGCTCACGGTGGACACGCTAAAGGCGCTGACCGCGCAGCGAGCGTCCGAGGCTAGCAAAGTACACAACCAGATCACACGCGAGCTCAGCGTCTCCAAGAACCTGGGGCCCGATGTGACGGGGCACTCGAAGTCGAGCGCGCTGGTGCGGTGCAGCGTGGGATTCCTGCCTCCCGCCGCCAGCATAGCAGAGTCTCTGTTTGGGGGCGGAGCTGGAGGCGGAGCCGAGGAGCGGCAGGGGGCGGAGCTTCCTCTGAGCCACGAGGCTGGATCGAGGTCGGATCCGGCTCCAGCCACGTTCTTCGTCAGCACGCCGTCACAGCTCATGGACTCGCACACACATACGGAGCCGGCGCACGCCGCGGAGGAGTTCGGGGCCTTCGTGGGTGAGTATGAGGAGGAAGAGGAGGGTGTTTATGAGAGGAGAGATGGAGGCCCCCCAGTGGTGGTCGTGAGTGACCCTGAGCGCGAGGGATACGTCAATCACGCCTTCGCTGATGACGAAGACGACCCGCCCGAAAGAAACACGCCCCTCCCTCTGGCCCCTGAGCTTGGACCCCGGGGCCCCCCACGCTTCCGGAGAGACAGCCGCTGCAGACGCGCGCTGAACCGACTCAGACAGAGGAGCGGAGGTTTGGCTTCGGTCCACCGCTGGGAATAACCGTGACCCTTGACCCTCACCCCGTCCGCATGCCCCTGTGTGTGGTGTGGTAGGGAGGGTGAGACGGGTGACCTCTGACCTCTGGCGGTGGTTTCATCTCAACCAGTTGCTTTTTACTAAATGTCCCCTCGGGAGTGAATATAGTGCTGTGTGTGTCCGGTAGACTAAACTAACCCGGGCTGGTGCTGGTTAAGGGTTTGGTTAAAGCTCAGTGTCATCGGAGGGGAACATTTAACAGGGTGACTGTAATCCAAGTCATGATGCACAGATCCGATCTTTTGACCATATCTGATTTTTTGGCCCGCCTGTTTACATTCACTTTAGACGCGACTGATTTGTGTCTCTACATGACTGGGATTAGTTCCTGAATGAATCAAGCGTTTAAATGATTCGGTTCAGTCGCAGTGACTCACTTATTAAAAGTGACTTGCTGCCACCTGCTGGTCGTAACAGTATTCACTGTTTTATGTTTAATATATCAAAACATTATTTATGCATTTGTAACGGCAGGTTAATGCATTCATGTCCTGCATTAAACGGTGTGAATACATCTATACACCTCTTCAGATGCAGCTTCTGTGTTTCCTCTGCACTGCAAAGATTAATTTTGTTGAAACTGATTTCATTTGCTTGGTAACTTATTCTAATTGACTGATTAAATGTAAGAATTTGACTCAAAAGATGTTGGACACTTTTATAAAAAATGGCTTTATAAAAGTAAAAATGCCCATAAAATGTAAAAATCTGTTTCAACTTATTGGAAAAGATTAATTTCTCTCAGTGTGAACTGACCAGCACACAGAATATGAAGAATATTACAAACATTAGGAGTCAGCTGTCTGTGGTAGTGGCACAATAACACACTCAGCAAAATATCTTCTTAATTATCGTTATCGATAAAATCCCAGAAAATACTGAGATATAATTTTGTTAATATCGCACACCCCTAGACACGACTGGTATCCGATATCTGCGTTTACATTAATTACCGATGAAGAGATTTACTACGCACACGGTAGACCCTCAGGTTTCGAATAGCCATGCTATTAAAATTATTTATATAATTCCCCTCGAGCCTGTTGGTTTAATTACAAAAGCTTTTAAGTTATCTCACCTGCTAAGAAATATAATGTAGCTTTTAGCTGTTGTATTTATTGAAATTGGTTGAAAACCATCTCAATAAAATATGAGCGAAACCGCACGCCGGCATTAAAACGCTATCTTTAGAAGCAAACCTGACAAAAGTTCTGCGGGAATCAGATGTGTGTGTTTAGACGTAGCTCAGGTGTCCAGATATCGGATATGTATCGGATTAAAATCCACATTGGGAAGTGGCCCAGATCGGATGTGAAGAAATCGGATCTCGTGCAGATTTTTGTGTTTATGACAAATTCTGATCCGTGTCAGATGTGAGCAAAAAAATCTGATTACTTGTGCCGGTGTAAACGCAGCGTAAACGTCAGTGTGGTTTGGTCTGTAATGCTTTGAACTCATTTTTCTCCAAAGGTCACAAGGATGATCCTGAGGGTCAGAGGTCGTTCCCTGAAGAGGTTGCTGTGAGCAGCCAGCAGTCGAGTCCCTCCAGAAAGGCTCGGGATGCGGTGAGTAGTTTTCTGAATGTTAAAGATGATTCTTCTCTGGTTTGGCTTAATCTGGTGTGTTTCTGCAGGCGGCGGCAGCGCAGGGTCACATGCGGACGGTGAACTCATACGCCGGCTTCACCGAGTTCGACAGAAACCCTTCGTTCCTGCGTCCAGAGTCCAGTGAGTGCAGCGTTACGCAACACCAGACGCTTCCAACATTAACCGTGATCTAGCATCACGAGCACAAACGCCACCTTCTGGACGAGGCTACACACACTCCTCTATTGATGTTAAAGCATTCATTCATCTCTCTATCTGTCTGTGTGTGTGTTTCAGCGCTCGGTAAGCAGGAGAGGACGCGTGTGTCGCTGGAGGACGTCTCTCGTTATGAGGATCTGCTGCTGGTCAGTCAAACACACACCAAAGTGTTTAAGAGACACGACATTCACACACACACGCTGTAACGCTGTCTGTCTTTCATTCTCAGGGGAAATCAGCTCAGTCCAGCAGACTGTGAGTAACTGTGTGTGTGTGTGTGTGTGTGTAATGTTCTGACAACTAATAAAGTGAGTGTTTTCATGAATTTACTAGCACTTGTGTCATAGTGTACTAGTTTCATTATACATGTGAAGGCTACAATTATATAGTGAAATATATGGTGTATGACCATTTTACATCACCTGAAAGCTGAATAAATAATCTTTCCATTGAGAAAATCTGGAATCTGAGGGTGCAATAAAATCTAAATATTGAGGAAAAACATCTTTAAAGTTGTCCAAATGAAGTTCTTAGCAATGCATATTACTAATCAAACATTAAGTTTTGATATATTTACGGTAGGAGATTTACAAAATATCTTCATGGAACATGATCTTTACTTAATATCCTAATGATTTTTGGCATAAAAGAGAAATGTATAATTGTGACCCATACAATGTATTGTTGGCTATTGCTACAAATATCCCCCAGCGACTCAACACTGCTTCTGTGCTGCAGGGACACATATGTGAGTGAGATTTATTTTTATAAGTGATTTTCTTGTTTGTTTTCAGGAGTCCAGGAGATGACATCTCAAACAGTGAGTGTTTCATCACATCTAATGATCATCTGATGACAGCTGAACTGATCCTGCTTTACTCTGACCGTGTGTGTGTGTGTGTGTGTGTGTGTGTGTGTGTGTGTGATTCAGCTGCAGGTCTGTATGCAGGGCGACACACACACCTGGGGCCGCGTAAGGACTGTAAGTCTGACCCCTGCTGGTCTCTCTCAGCGCTGCACTTACACATACAGTACTACACTACACTGACAGCATCAAGAACACGGTAATATCGTGGTATTTTGTGTGTTCTGCTCATTCTTTGCTCTGTGTGTCTGTGGAGCAGCGATCGGTTCTCCGTTCAAGCCCATGGAGAGTTATCAGTATTCAGGTCAGTGTTTCTGTCAGTCCGTCCAATGAAAGCATAAACGTGTCCTGATTCGAACCCGACCCGCGACACCTCGCTCAAACACACTGTAATGAGAGTGTGTTTAGCGGGCCGAGGCGCGGTGGTGTGACGTGTACTGACATCAGCCCTGTGTGTGTGTGTGTGTGTCAGCGGTGGAGCGTAATAACCTGATGCGGTTGTCTCAGAGTATTCCATTCACCCCAGTGCCCCCTAGAGGTAAGACACAGCACTGCCCTCCTGTCTCTCTCTGTCCCATCAGGCTTTGCTGTTTATCATGTAGTTCTGGGCGGCGTGACGGTAGTGATTGGTTTTTACACGTGAGAGAAGAAACATGGAGTGATATTAAATACATCAGACAACTGTGCAAAGATTCTTAACTCAAGATACATTTACTGGAAAAATATGACAAAATATAAAGCCTTGTTTTCTGAGAAATAAATAGTGTAGTTTAGGATTAAAACAAACAAATATCTGCCAATGAGCTCCGAAAAAACAACCTAATTCAAATGGAAGAAGTTTTAATCCCCCATTGGCAGATATTTGTTCTTGTTTTAATCATAAACTCGCTTGATTTTGTTTAGTTCAGTATTGTTCAAAAAAATTAGATCTTCAGTTTGCATCTCCAGTAAATGTGTCTTGATTTAAGGATGTTTAGATATTTGTATTGAAAAACAAGACAAAAATACTGAGGAAGAGATTAATTTTTTGCAGTTCATGCAACACTCAATGCCACGACTTCATGAATTTAAGACTCTCTGCTTCTTTTTAGGCTTCAATTTGTGGAAGGGTGAATTATGACTTTTGATGACCTTTTTAAGACCCACAGAAACCCTGAAATATAGCTGCTCTAAAAAGACAATCGTGTCAATTACAGTTCAGTTCATTAACAGTCAATTTATTTTCAATCAGTCTGATCTGTTTAATAATATCAGTCTGACTGTTTTAAATCTTTAGTTTCAGACTTGTGAATCTGTTTGTACACTGTTGTACGTTTGATACGAATCAGCTGATTTTTGCTTTGAATCCATCAAATTCCAAATAAACAGAAAATAATTAAATCAGATGAAGCAGCTTTTTGTTTGTAAGACTAAACTCATTGGATTATAAAAAATAGACATTAAAACATGATTATTTACAATTAGAACCATTTTTCATTACATTTCCAACCACAAAACGTTAGACAGAATTGCTTGATGTAAGGTGTAGTTCACGCCGCCCAGCCCTACGCTGTATTTGTTTGGTGATATTGTGTGTTTGCGAGGTCAGTCGCGTGTTTATGCGTGTCGTTCTCATGTTTGCGTGTCGTACAGGTGAGCCGGTGACCGTGTACCGTCTGGAGGAGAGCTCTCCCAACACCATCAATAACAGCATGTCGTCGTGGACTCAGCGCGGTCTCTGTGCTAAGATCGAGTTCCTCAGTAAAGAGGAGATGGGTGGAGGCCTGCGGCGGGCGCTGAAGGTGCTCTGCACCTGGTCCGAGTACGACATGCTGAAGCCTGGACACCTGTACATCGTCAAGTCCTTCCTACCTGAGGTGGTCAACACCTGGCAGAGCATTTACAGAGAGGACACAGTCCTGCACCTCTGTCTCAGGGTACGATCACACACCGGATGTTCTCCAGCTGTTCCTCATTACTCACCCAAACACAGAGTCACAAGAGTTTATAATAACAGCTCCAGTGCTGTGAAACAGTGACCGATCTTTTCTTCCATATTGACACTTTTGAGTAACAGGTGAGGGCGGGGCTTGATTCTATCCACCGGTTGTTGATTGGATATTGAGATGTGGGTGTGGCTCTCAAAAATTGTGAGCTGCAGGGGCGGAGCTTAAGAACACTAAATGACTGGAGAAGATCCGGTTTTGACATTTTGATTAAAAATGACGAGATCAAAATTTTTAAAGGGGTCATGAAATGCATTTTTTAAATGATTTTATAATGTTTCCATATAATCTAGTCAGATATATATCTTTTTTTTCATTCACACAAACTACTCAAACACTTCTGATTGTGGTGTGAATCTCAAATGTTTCTTTGCCTTGTTTAAACCCACATTTAGCGTTGTCCCGGATGAGCGAACGAGCACTGTTTTCTGTGCAAGACGCCACTGAAACGGTGTTTGTGTTTGTGTTGTGAACAGGAAATACAGCAGCAGAGAGCAGCTCAGAAACTCACGTTTGCCTTCAATCAGATCAGACCCAAAACCATCCCGTACTCACCCAGGTACTGACACACACACACAGTCGGCGAGATACTGACAGATCCGTCAGTCATTAAGAGCGGAGAGAAAGGGTGAGAAATGCTGTCTGTAACATGAATGAATATGACCTCTATTTTAAGAATACAGATGTTAGCCAGGGTTAGGGGTGTGAATCATTACTGGTTTCACGATTCGATTCGATTATGATTATCATGACAACGATTTGATTACACGATGCCTTATATAAGCAGGCTACTTTTTAAAATAATTACAAATTAATAATAAATCAAAACAATTAAGAATTTTACCGAATAAATATAGCTTCAAAACATTCAAGCGAATATAAACTAATAAAGGGTTACAAGTGATAAATAAAAAGCACTTTCAGTATCTTACAGGAAATCATAGTTATGGGTTTATCTTTTTTCCTCCGCATTATTGCAGTTTGATTATTACTGCTGAGATCACAGACAGTGGCAGCTTTAATCGTCTGCATTCACACTAATGCACAGATCCACGTATCGGGTGTTTCTCATGCAGCGTCTCTGGGAGGGACGTTCTCTCTTCTGACAGCCGAGATCAGCCTCTCTCTAGTTTTTCTTGTTGTTTGAGCAAATGGGAATGCAAAAAATATATTTATGGTACTCTCCCATTCACCGCTCTTCAAGTTAACTCAATCATGACGGCTTGCGCTGCTGAGAAACACAGAAATGTGTCCATCGATTATGGTCTATTATGGTTCGTTTCCACCGAGCGGTACGGTTCAGTACGGTACGGTGCGCAATTATGTCCGTTTTGTCCAATTTATGTCCAATTATGAACCGTACGTACCACTTTTCCGTCGGGGTACCTAGCACAGCAAAGGGTACTAAAAGGGAGGAGCTAAACTCACCGCAGAGCGTTGATTGGTTGATTAGAATCGTCACTTCTGCGTGATACAAGGGGATAAAGCGTCTCCTTCACTCGTTCCGCTCTGCTGTGCACGAGTGTAGGGCTTATTTACATCAGTGCGCAACCACGAAAATATAACAGTGTATTTTATTTTCTTCACACAGACAATAGCCGTTTCTCAATATGCGTTCTTGTCTAACGTCATTGCCCAAAAACCTGCGTCATTTTCTAAATATTACTGTTATTGTTTTAACAGGCATTCGTGGTCTCATTAATCTATTATTGGTTCCTGGTCATATTTCGGCTGAGCACAAAGTTGATTTTATATATTTATTTTGAACTTTACTGTAGTACAGCGCTGAAATTGTAGCATACGTTTGACTGAATTGTTTTCTTTTGTCTTCATTTCCTCTTAGATACTTTGTACTTATACTTTTATAATGGGTATTATTGTTCATTAAATCGGACATTTAGCAACGAGAGGCAGAGTTGTGCTTATTGTCGCGCTTTATCGTGCATCGCTACTTTCCGGCATACACCGTAAGTGTACTGTTGGCATGGAAACGCAAGCTGGATCGGGGTGTTCGGTCCGGAATCGTAGCGTACTGTACTGACCCGTACCGCTCGGTGGAAACGAGACATTACTGCATCGATGCAGAATCGTCCGCTTTGTGATGCATCGTACACACGATTCATTTCAACACCGCTAGTCATGGTTAGCACCTAATTTAACTTTTGACCAATAAACTCAAGCTGTGAGGGACTGAAGTACAGTGCGTTTAGTGACTTGTGCTGTTGTCTATTACAACTTGTATAGTATTGTAGAATTTATAAATGTTCTTCTAATGTATTTGGTTGCGTCAGGTCTTATGATATGATCTTTGGCCCCGCGAATCTTGGAGACGATGCCATTCGAAACTTCCGCACCAAGCATCACTGCAACTCGTGCTGCAGAAAGCTCAAACTTCCCGGTGAGTGTAGCGATCGCTGAACAGAACGATGCTGGATCAGGGGCAGGATGGGGAAAACATGCCCTATCTATCCATCCATCTGGCCTAGCGACATGCTAATCATGTTAGAAACATACTAACAACATGCTAGTAGCATGCTAATCACACTAACAACATGCACAACATGCTAGTTACTTGTTAATAATGCTAGCGACATGCTAGTAACTGGCTAATCATGCTAGAAACAGGCTAATCATGCTACAAACATGCTAGCGACATGCTAGTAACTTGTTAATCACGTTAACAACATGCTAGTAACATGCTAATCATGCTAGTGACATGCTAGTAACTGGCTAATCATGCTAGAAACATGCTAGCGACATGCTAGTAACTTATTAATCATGCTAACAACATGCTAGTTACTTGCTAATCATGCTAGTGACATGTTAGCAACATATTAGTCACTTGTTAATCATGCTAACAACATGCTATATACTTGTTAATAATGCTATCAACATGCTAGTTACGTGCTAATTATGCTAACAACATGCTAGTTACTTTGCTAATCATGCTAGTTACATGTTAGCAACATGTTAGTCACTTGCTAATAATGATAACAACATGCTAGTTACTTTGCTAATCATGCTAGTGACATGTTAGTCACTTGTTAATCATGCTAACAACATGCTATATACTTGCTAATAATGCTATCAACATGCTAGTTACTTGCTAATCATGCTAACAACATGCTAGTTACTTGTTAATCATGCTAGCAACATGCTAATAATGATGATTCCGGCTTTTACAACTGCTTTAAACTTTCAGGCTAGGCTTTCTCAAGCCAACCTAAAGTTTGTCTTGACACACTTTGTTTTATTGTTGCATTGAAATGTAGAGAAAACATAATTTTTTTTCTTATTTTTATCTCCATTTTTTATCTTTTTATAGGCTATAGGTAGATACAATTCAGCATTTACTTCAATCAAGTTTTATTTTTCGAGTTTAAGCGTGTTTGTGTTAATTATGATTGATTTGTAAGTGAACTATCTAGTCTGTATCGGGCAGTTTCTGAGGAGATGTGTGTTTGTGGGCAGATCTGAAGCGGAACGACTACACTCCTGATAAACTGACGTCCTCCGAGGGCCCGTCCCATTCGCCGCCTGCAGGGGGCGCCGCGAAAGAACAGCGTCCCTCAATGCGCTTAATGCTGTGAGCCGCACACACTCGCATCACTGTGTGTGTGTGTGTGTGTGTGTGTCTCTGTGTGAGTGTGTGAGTGTGTGTGTGTCTGAGTGTGTGTTTGTGTGTGTGTGTGTGTCTCTGTGTGAGTGAGTGTGTGTGTGTGTGTCTGAGTGTGTGTTTGTGTGTGTGTGTGTGTCTCTGTGTGAGTGTGTGAGTGTGTGTGTGTCTCTCTCTGTGTGTGTGTGTGTGTGTGTGTGTGTGTGTGTGTGTGTGTGTGTGTGTGTGTGTGTGTGTGGAGGACACGTTTTATACGAACGCGTCGCCTCTGAACAAATGCAATCTAGAGATGTTTTAAAAAGTCACATTTTATCCTGTACAATTATAACGGAGTATGAGCTTTTAAAAGTATTTTTTAAGATTTTTATGTCTGTATGAAACTATAAAGTGGTTAATACCTGGTACAATATCACTGTATAGAGTTAAATATTTATTCTAAACTACAGAAAGTTGCCTTGTATAAAATAAAAGCAGTTTTACGTGTGATGTCTGTCACTTCTGGGAAGAACTCTGGCTGGTTATACTGTTATCAGATGCTGTACAGAGCTGTGTGAATGCATTAATGCGTCTGAGTCTCTGGGCAGATTGCAATGCAAGGCTTCACTGAAAGCGGTGCGTGCTCTTTATAACGTCGCCGGAGGATCGTGAGCGCTGATGTAGAGCATCTCAGAAGCATCTGGCACCATGCTATCAGCTGAAGCGGCACGATCTCTGATGCTGGGGGCACTGTATTAATGGATCTGTACACTCTTTTTTACTGTATATTTAATAAAACACTGAAAATCATCCACATCTGTTTTTTCTCTCTCTGAAGTTCCTTTATCTTCGGCTTCTGTAGCGTGTTTGTGATCTACGGAGATGCGTGTTAAACAACAACCGCTCCGTGCAGCATGCGTTTGATCTGACCTCTGACCCGAGCGGTTTATTTGCATTGTTTTATAATGTTTTATGAGTCGTGAGCACGAGTTTACACAACACTTTGCTAATTCTATTTAATTTAGTTTTTACTGCAGTACCGTCGTTATACAGCACTTGGTAAAACATTGTTTTCAAATGTATTTTATAAATTAGCGTCATACTGTAAACTTTTGCTGCATTTTTATTATCTGTTTTTTATGCTCGAGCTCAATTCTGATTGGCTGTCAGGGTTTTTATCGTTCATTCACGCGTTCATGAGAAAAATCGCTGACGAAAAAACCGTGATCCCAACGATACCGTTTCTCGGTGTCGTTATAATCGAACGATTATTAAAACAGTTATCGCTTTATGTGCTGGGTGTGAACGGGCCTAGTCGGTTTATCCCGTGTCGTCTGATATAGACGTCTTTTAAAAATTAGTCAAATTACTCTGTTTTACAAACTAATTTACTGGTTTTACTAAGAAAAACACCAAACGGTTTCATCGGCGTTTTTAAATAAAGAAGCGCGCGAATAGTGTCGTTGGCCTGAGATCTCCATAGCAACGGTACAACGCGGGAGATGAGAAATCCTCGAGCTGTCGTAATTTCTTTCTTTACATTAGTGCCTGCTTTAAAAGTCTTTACAAAAATGGTTCCGCTGCTTTAATGGAGCCAAAATGACCAACACACAATCCAGCATTTAACGTTATTAACCAGGCACCCGCGGCAATTTTGTGTTATTACTCGTTCTTTAATAACGTTGTGTGTTTGTGTTGCAAGAGTAGCTCGCCTCAGAGAATCCTGTCAGGATCGACGGAGAAAGACCGCGAAGAGAGGAACGCTTCTATGCGGTTAGAATCGTCCGATCCCCGGTCCAACCATCCGGTAAGAAGCGTTCGAACAGAACCATATAACTACTGTCTTTAATAACGTGTCTTGGTTGTATTAACGTTACCTCATTAACACTAATAACTTTGTTGTATTCCTCAATCGAAAGTTAATTTGGATCAATTGCTAATTGAATATATGTACATGTTTGTGCCTTGAAATATCACGCAAATACTATATAGTACAGAAGTATGTACCGTGCTAGCACTACACCACAGAGCTTCTGTTAGCAACGCTGAGATGATTTCAGGTGCCCCGGTCATTAAAGTGTTCACTGGCCGACCACAGAAAAACAACATTGCTCTCAGAAAATTAAATGCTTCAGGTTGGAAGAATCTTACAAGCGACATTCGCAGTGGCTGCTGGTTCTGTGAGCTGGCCCTCACACTGACCCAGACAGCCCGCTGAACACTAGGTTCTTATAAGACAACATAGAACTGAATGAATGTTTGATTTGTGTTCATCAGATGGCATCTCAGGTCAAGAGGTCAGCCGGGTCACTTTGATGAAGAACTCGAGAAACACCAGAACCTTCCTTCACACACTGGACACATTCTCAACGGGTACACACACTCTCTCTCTCACACACTCTCTCTCTCTCACACTCTCTCTCACACACACTCTCTCTCTCTCTCTCACACTCTCTCTCACACACACTCTCTCTCTCTCTCTCACACTCTCTCTCACACACACTCTCTCTCTCTCTCTCACACTCTCTCTCACACACACTCTCTCTCTCTCTCTCACACTCTCTCTCACACACACTCTCTCTCTCTCTCTCACACTCTCTCTCACACACACTCTCTCTCTCTCTCTCACACTCTCTCTCACACACACTCTCTCTCTCTCTCTCACACTCTCTCTCACACACACTCTCTCTCTCTCTCTCACACTCTCTCTCACACACACTCTCTCTCTCTCTCTCACACTCTCTCTCACACACACTCTCTCTCTCTCTCTCACACTCTCTCTCACACACACTCTCTCTCTCTCTCTCACACTCTCTCTCACACACACTCTCTCTCTCTCTCTCACACTCTCTCTCACACACACTCTCTCTCTCTCTCTCACACTCTCTCTCACACACACTCTCTCTCTCTCTCTCACACTCTCTCTCACACACACTCTCTCTCTCTCTCTCACACTCTCTCTCACACACACTCTCTCTCTCTCTCTCACACTCTCTCTCACACACACTCTCTCTCTCTCTCTCACACTCTCTCTCACACACACTCTCTCTCTCTCTCTCACACTCTCTCTCACACACACTCTCTCTCTCTCTCTCACACTCTCTCTCACACACACTCTCTCTCTCTCTCTCACACTCTCTCTCACACACACTCTCTCTCTCTCTCTCACACTCTCTCTCACACACACTCTCTCTCTCTCTCTCACACTCTCTCTCACACACACTCTCTCTCTCTCTCTCACACTCTCTCTCACACACACTCTCTCTCTCTCTCTCACACTCTCTCTCACACACACTCTCTCTCTCTCTCTCACACTCTCTCTCACACACACTCTCTCTCTCTCTCTCACACTCTCTCTCACACACACTCTCTCTCTCTCTCTCACACTCTCTCTCACACACACTCTCTCTCTCTCTCTCACACTCTCTCTCACACACACTCTCTCTCTCTCTCTCACACTCTCTCTCACACACACTCTCTCTCTCTCTCTCACACTCTCTCTCACACACACTCTCTCTCTCTCTCTCACACTCTCTCTCACACACACTCTCTCTCTCTCTCTCACACTCTCTCTCACACACACTCTCTCTCTCTCTCTCACACTCTCTCTCACACACACTCTCTCTCTCTCTCTCACACTCTCTCTCACACACACTCTCTCTCTCTCTCTCACACTCTCTCTCACACACACTCTCTCTCTCTCTCTCACACTCTCTCTCACACACACTCTCTCTCTCTCTCTCACACTCTCTCTCACACACACTCTCTCTCTCTCTCTCACACTCTCTCTCACACACACTCTCTCTCTCTCTCTCACACTCTCTCTCACACACACTCTCTCTCTCTCTCTCACACTCTCTCTCACACACACTCTCTCTCTCTCTCTCACACTCTCTCTCACACACACTCTCTCTCTCTCTCTCACACTCTCTCTCACACACACTCTCTCTCTCTCTCTCACACTCTCTCTCACACACACTCTCTCTCTCTCTCTCACACTCTCTCTCACACACACTCTCTCTCTCTCTCTCACACTCTCTCTCACACACACTCTCTCTCTCTCTCTCACACTCTCTCTCACACACACTCTCTCTCTCTCTCTCACACTCTCTCTCACACACACTCTCTCTCTCTCTCTCACACTCTCTCTCACACACACTCTCTCTCTCTCTCTCACACTCTCTCTCACACACACTCTCTCTCTCTCTCTCACACTCTCTCTCACACACACTCTCTCTCTCTCTCTCACACTCTCTCTCACACACACTCTCTCTCTCTCTCTCACACTCTCTCTCACACACACTCTCTCTCTCTCTCTCACACTCTCTCTCACACACACTCTCTCTCTCTCTCTCACACTCTCTCTCACACACACTCTCTCTCTCTCTCTCACACTCTCTCTCACACACACTCTCTCTCTCTCTCTCACACTCTCTCTCACACACACTCTCTCTCTCTCTCTCACACTCTCTCTCACACACACTCTCTCTCTCTCTCTCACACTCTCTCTCACACACACTCTCTCTCTCTCTCTCACACTCTCTCTCACACACACTCTCTCTCTCTCTCTCACACTCTCTCTCACACACACTCTCTCTCTCTCTCTCACACTCTCTCTCACACACACTCTCTCTCTCTCTCTCACACTCTCTCTCACACACACTCTCTCTCTCTCTCTCACACTCTCTCTCACACACACTCTCTCTCTCTCTCTCACACTCTCTCTCACACACACTCTCTCTCTCTCTCTCACACTCTCTCTCACACACACTCTCTCTCTCTCTCTCACACTCTCTCTCACACACACTCTCTCTCTCTCTCTCACACTCTCTCTCACACACACTCTCTCTCTCTCTCTCACACTCTCTCTCACACACACTCTCTCTCTCTCTCTCACACTCTCTCTCACACACACTCTCTCTCTCTCTCTCACACTCTCTCTCACACACACTCTCTCTCTCTCTCTCACACTCTCTCTCACACACACTCTCTCTCTCTCTCTCACACTCTCTCTCACACACACTCTCTCTCTCTCTCTCACACTCTCTCTCACACACACTCTCTCTCTCTCTCTCACACTCTCTCTCACACACACTCTCTCTCTCTCTCTCACACTCTCTCTCACACACACTCTCTCTCTCTCTCTCACACTCTCTCTCACACACACTCTCTCTCTCTCTCTCACACTCTCTCTCACACACACTCTCTCTCTCTCTCTCACACTCTCTCTCACACACACTCTCTCTCTCTCTCTCACACTCTCTCTCACACACACTCTCTCTCTCTCTCTCACACTCTCTCTCACACACACTCTCTCTCTCTCTCTCACACTCTCTCTCACACACACTCTCTCTCTCTCTCTCACACTCTCTCTCACACACACTCTCTCTCTCTCTCTCACACTCTCTCTCACACACACTCTCTCTCTCTCTCTCACACTCTCTCTCACACACACTCTCTCTCTCTCTCTCACACTCTCTCTCACACACACTCTCTCTCTCTCTCTCACACTCTCTCTCACACACACTCTCTCTCTCTCTCTCACACTCTCTCTCACACACACTCTCTCTCTCTCTCTCACACTCTCTCTCACACACACTCTCTCTCTCTCTCTCACACTCTCTCTCACACACACTCTCTCTCTCTCTCTCACACTCTCTCTCACACACACTCTCTCTCTCTCTCTCACACTCTCTCTCACACACACTCTCTCTCTCTCTCTCACACTCTCTCTCACACACACTCTCTCTCTCTCTCTCACACTCTCTCTCACACACACTCTCTCTCTCTCTCTCACACTCTCTCTCACACACACTCTCTCTCTCTCTCTCACACTCTCTCTCACACACACTCTCTCTCTCTCTCTCACACTCTCTCTCACACACACTCTCTCTCTCTCTCTCACACTCTCTCTCACACACACTCTCTCTCTCTCTCTCACACTCTCTCTCACACACACTCTCTCTCTCTCTCTCACACTCTCTCTCACACACACTCTCTCTCTCTCTCTCACACTCTCTCTCACACACACTCTCTCTCTCTCTCTCACACTCTCTCTCACACACACTCTCTCTCTCTCTCTCACACTCTCTCTCACACACACTCTCTCTCTCTCTCTCACACTCTCTCTCACACACACTCTCTCTCTCTCTCTCACACTCTCTCTCACACACACTCTCACACACACACACACACACGCTCTCACTCACACACACACACACGCTCTCTCTCTCACACACTCACACTCACTCACACACACTCACTCACACACAGAGACACACACTCACTCACACACGCTCACTCACACACACTCTCACACACACACACACACACACACTCTCTCTCACACACTCGCACTCACACACTCACTCACTCACACTCTCACACACACACACTCTCTCCTCACTCACACACACACACACGCTCTCACACACACACACACACACTCACACTCTCACACACACACACACACACACATTATGAACATTGAGCATGTGATCTGAAGCAATGAAACTAGAGTTAAATCTGCAATGCACTGCATGATTTTTGCCCAGATTTACAGTCTGGAGTCGCTAGTTGTGAAATCAGGGCCAGACTTCAGATTATGGGCTGTCAGATTTCACAGAAATCATGTCGTGTGTGTATGATGAATGCAGACTGATTCCATACAGCTGGAGATCAGACATGAAACAACTTTTTACAGTTTTCATCTCTTCCTGTATTACAAAAACACCTGAACATTGATACCAAGAGACGTAATCGGATTCATAACAGAAAACATTTTTACAGATTTTAAATGGCGCAGACCAAATCTAACATTCACAGACATTTACTTACATTTAATATTCAATTATTTTCTGTATACCATGAGCAGAAAAGCCACAGTCATCTGACAGAAACAGATTAATTATCATAACTGTTTGTAGTCACTAAGAAATGTATCATCTTTGCACAATGTAGAATATGTATCACATTTATTACATCGGCTTCAAATGCAGCTCGTCCAATCAGATGTTACAGTATAAAATCTGTTTTATGATCAAACAATCCTGTTGATACTGTCATACTGTAAACACAAGACAAGACTCAAAGCACACATGTGTTACGTCTGTTTATTTGTGCATGTATAAGGCTTATAGGCTAATGCATGGATTTAAAGAATGCACTTAATATTATAAGAAACCAGAAGAGAGAATCAGTTAGAAGCTCATGCCACAGTGTATTAGTTCAGAGAGACAGCTGTGTGATATGATGATGGCATCAGACCTACTGCTAATGCTGACCATCGGTCAAGAGGGTTATTGCACTGCTGTGATTAGCGGATCCCTGAACACTAGCCTACAGAGCAGGGCCCAAGCTGCGCTTTACTACGTGTGAACAAGGACGAGTGGGTTTGAGTGATTTCTTGTTAACCAACAGTTGGATTTTCTCATTCAGAGTTATATTTGGTTATATTTGATCACTGTATAAATAAATGAAACGCATCTCCCTAAGCAGCAGGTGCATGTCTAATCAGCGGTTTGGATTATAGTGCGCTTATATGGACGACTAATCTCACGGTCTGTCTAAATGACATCAAGTCCAGAGCAGGCAGAGGCCCCTGTGTTCAGACTCCTGCTACAGGAATACAGACGCCACTGAACCGCCCGCTGAGAGAGCGAGAGAGAGAGAGACACAGAGAGAGAGAGAGAGGGAGGGGCGTTCCCTCAGCAGAAGTGTCCATCAGTCCTCACGCAAAGGGCTTTAGCTCCACCAGCATGGTGACGACCTGTCGCTGTCCCTCATAGAGAGGAGTAGAAGAAGATGTAGGCGGCGGCCGTGCGCACAGAGGAGGCGGAGATGTCGGACACCTCGTGATCGTCAAACTTGAACCAGCGCTGCTTGAGAGGGTTCTTACAGTAAGCAGTGTAGTGACCGCCATCCAGCCCACCGTAATGATTCTGCAGAGACGAGAAGTGTGAGTGTTTGTGTGTGTGTGGATGTGTGAGTGTTTGTGTGTGTGTGTGTGAGAGAGTGTGAGTGAGTGAGTGTGTGTGTGTGAGAGTGAGTGAGTGAGTGAGTGTGTGTG